TCAAACATAGCTACCTGTCCGAAATGCACCAAGAAGAGGGTGGGCCCTTTGGGGTCCCTTCTAAATATGTGATTCTGTGCAAATTGCTCCCCGCTGTTCTCCTGGTGCTGCTTCAAAAGGTTCCTCTTTGCTTTAAGCCATCATCATCAGCTTTGATTGTGATTTCTTCCTTTCTGCATAGGTTGTAGCACAACAGGAAATGCCTCTTCCTATTTCAGGTTTTCGGGCAAGATGATCAGGTTTTCATAGCAAAACCTGATGACCTTGCCTGGCTAGTGATATGCATGCAAAAGACTTGGGCCCATTATACAGTATTTTCATGTCAGCAAGGATGGCCTTGTCCCAAAGCACCTATAAAGTTTAACTTTTCTCTGGTCCATGAGAACCAAACAGCAACATGAGCACCATTTGATCAAAGAAATGACAAACCCTTGGCTGACCACAGAAATAAAATGCCCTTAGATTGGACATCCTCTGTATCCTCCTCAAAGTTTATGGTAGCTTGGCAGCTCAGCCACCGACTTCTACTGCTGGTTCAACTTTTCCATCCTTCTTGGATTGCTACTGGAGAGCCTATGTGTGCAAATAAGCAAGCTTGGGGTGCTGCTTTTTATATTCAGCTGGTTGGCAACAAAGGAAAGCAAAAAATGATGCCCAGCAGAATCTGGGAATTGATGGAAACTCTGCTAGCCAGGTATTGTTTCTGCAAACGCGTTTCTCAGCCTTGGCAGTTTCAAGATGGGTGAATTTCAACTCCCAGCCAGTATGGTTAAGAGCTGTGATAGCGTGGTGGTTAGAATGCAGCATTGCAGGCCGACTCTGCCCACAGCCCAGAGTTTGATCCTGACCTGCTCAGGGTTGACCCATCTTTCCATCCTTCCGAGGTCAGTAAAATGAGGAGCCAGATTGTTGGGGATAATGTGGGACATTGTAAACCAGGGGTGTCAAACTTGATTTCACTGAGGGCCGCATCAGGCTTGTGTTTGAACTCAGGGGTCTGGGGTGGGCGTAGCCAGCTCGATATCACTCATGTTGGGGGCACCAGTGGTGGCCCAAGGATTCTGCCAGCGAAAACGAGCTCCTAAGCTCTGTTTTCGGCTGCAACGGCCTCTTGCAACCCTCTGCCTTCAAAAATGGTGCCCCAAGGGGTGCGGTGCAGCCCTCGCGAGCTCAATTTTCTCTGGCAGAGACACCGTGGGCCAGTCCTTCGCTGTTTCCAGGATGGCCCCGTGAACCAGATCTAAACACCCTAGGGGCCGTATCCAACCCATGGGCCTTGAGCTTGACACCCTTGTTGTAAACTGTTCAGAGAGTGCTGTAAAGTTTTATGGAGTGGTAGATAAGTCTTAAGTACTATTGCTATCTTCAAGTTACTAAGGCTGAGAAATACCGTATTAAACAGTCAACAGCAAATCAACAGTTCTATACAACCTAAAACTACTCAGCCCGTTAAAATCACTCTCGGATTCCTCCCAAGATTTCATTCCAGCCCAAATCCAAATATTCTGAGATTTTCTTCTGCGAGACCTTAGTCCAGAGGTCTCCAAACTTGGCAACTTTAAGACTTGTGGAGTTCAACTCTCAGAGTCCTCCAGCCAGCTGGAGCATTCTGGGAGTTGAACTCCACAAGTCTTAAAGGGGGCCAAGTTTGGGGACCCCCTACCTTAGTCTATCTGCAATTATTTAGCAGAAGTTCCAGAATGCAGTTTTTATTTGGGGGTTTGAAAGCAAACCTATGTTTTGTTTCATGCACGTGGCTGGTTCCTGTATCACTGAGGCATCCTGAACCTGGCACCTCCGGGTTTTTGGAGTGTTAACTGGGTTTAAATTGGATTTAGCCTCACTTTGCACACATGAAGCCATTTCAATTTCAGGACTGAAGGAAAAGGATTTTTATGCGGTGTTCTCCTCCAGAAGAATGGCGAAGCTCATGTTTTTCTAACAGGTTCTTCATGTATTCTCCCCCCCCCCTTCCCCATGGACAAATGCAATGGGATGATATGATTATAGAAATATTACTGATATTTTCCATTATAGCACAATATTTCTATAATCATATCACCTCATTGCATTTGGGAAAAAGAGGTTTTTGCAATCGGAAGCTTCATGTCTTGGAGAATGTATACAATGGAGATCGATTGAGTGTTGATCCATTGGTTGGAATAGAAATTGACCGGCCTGTCATTCAAGCCTGACAGTGGACTATAAGCAACAGAGAGAATGTGACTAAATAATCCTTAAAAAAAAAAAGGTGATCTCTGCTTTGCTTAACTAGATAAGCTCATAAATCCAGCAAACAGAGGGAAAGTTTGGGCACGTTCTAGATTCAAAGGTAGTGAAATCTGATGCTGGCAAAGCTGACGAAGCAAAGAGGAAGAGTTGGCCAGGTCAGGAAATCGTCAGAGAAGGAGGGCACAGGCTGCTGCAGCTGGCAGCTATTTCGACACTGGGCATCACTCGGGCACAACCTGGCTAGGAAAAGCATGGTGGGCGCTGAACAGTTGGACACTGCAAGGTGCATCTTGGAATTTCTGTTCACTCGGGTACCCAACACCCCCACCCCCCGCCCCCGGGATCCCTCTGGAGCCAAGGTCCAAATCTTGAGCTTTGATCTTCCACCACGGCTCTCTCATTGCTCTTCCGGACATTACGGATTCGGTAGCTGGGTTTGCTTTGTGCTCAGTTGTTTATGTTCTGTTGTGTGGCTTAGTTGCTAAGATCTGTTGACCTAGGATGGAGTTGGAATGCAATAAGGAGGAGAAAATGGAGGCTGAAAGTGCTCCTTGCTTGTAAATCAGGAGAAAGCAAAGTCTGATCCCTTCTTAGCAATCCAAATTGTGCTTTGTAAGAGTGTGGCTCTAGTTTGTGTCTTGCATTTAAGAGTCTTTCTCCTGTGGATTAAGCTAGTTTGTGCTCTGAGGTCAGAATGACAGACGTAAGCCACCTCTGTGACGGGCAGGGGTTGGGCCACAAGTTATCATTCTAAGCAACACTTTATGAAAAATAATTCAATTACTGTCTACGTCAGGGGTCTCAAACTCGCGGCCCGCGGGCCAATTGCGGCCCGCAGGACGATATCTTGTGGCCCCCACTATGATATGAAAGTATAATATTAGTGCGGCCCGCAGGGGGAATGGACCTCTGAAGGAAGTCCCGCCCGCCGTTTCTCGTCGTGGCTTCTTCTCCACCCTGAACTTTAACAAGTCCAAGTACAGGTCCAGACTTACTGATGATCATTTTCAAGCCATACTGAGGGTCCCAAGTGCCTCCTCTCTCAAGCCAAATGTGGCTCAGATATGTGAGAGGAAGCGTTGTCAGGTCTCTGGCAGCAAGGAGTGAGCTGGAGAAGCCATGTTCTGAGGAACTGTTCATGATCTTCATTCAATGTTCCATTCATGTGTTCAGGACAGTTCATATATTGGAGAAATCATTAACTGTTGATGACATTTGAGGATATTTTTTTAACAACGTTTTTTGTGGAATCCCTTATGCGGCCCAGCCTCACCCAGACTCTGCCTCCAGCGGCCCCCAGGTAAATTGAGTTTGAGACCCCTGGTCTACGTGTTTAAAATGGTAGCAGTGACTTAAATACCTGAAGGAAACGCTCTTATTATTTATATTTCAATAAAAATAGCAGTGTATAATATTTGATAGCATCTTTTCTGCCAAAGTTCGTGAGAGGTCTGTTTTTTTTCAAACCAGGAGATGGTGAGTTCTAGTCCTGCCGTAGGCATGAAAGCCGGCTGGGTGACTTTGAGCCAGTCGCTCCCTCTCAGCCCATCTCACCTCACTGGGTTGTTGTTGTTGTGGGGAAAATAGGAGGAGGAAGGCGTTTTGGATATATTTGCCATCTATTGGATATAAAAACAACGGCAAAATATTAAATGCATATGCAGATATTCTGGTATGTGCTGGTTTTTAGGTGCCCCCAGCAAAAATCACAACCAAATGAAGTTGTCTACAGTTATGAGAACCAGTTTGGTTTAGTGGTTAAGGCAGAAGGGTAGAAACTGGGAGACCATGAGCTCTATTCCCATCTTAGCCACGAAAGCTGGCCGCTTGACCTTGGGCGAGTCATTCTCTCAACCCAATGCATGGGATTATTATTGTGGGTGGAAAAGGAGGAAGGTATATTGGAGATACACACACACACACACACACACACACACACACACATACATTACTATTCTAAAAGTACGAGTTCCAGGTGTACTTGTAAAAGAAGAAACAGACATCTTGCGATCTCCGGAACCAAAATTATATTTATTGTACTTACTGAGCTTTCATAAGGCTTTGCTGACATCATCACAGTATTAAGTTACCATTACAGAGACCTCTTCCTTTATATATCATTAATCAATTTAGCCCTTGCAAGGGTAATAGGCCCTTCCAATCGCTTCCCAACAGAGTAATCAGCTCTGTTGGTTTTGCTTCTGTCATGTTGGTCAAAGGAGTCTTATTTCTTGTCATTGTCCCTTGGCAGACCCAGCCTGGAATGTTTATCTCTAGGAGGTGATGTTAGCCTGTATACTGGATGCAGTGGCTCAGTGGCTAAGGTGCTGAGCTTGTCAGTCAGAAAGGTCGGCAGTTCGGCGGTTTGAATCCCTAGTGCTGTGTAATGGAGTGAGCTCCTGTTACTTGTCCCAGCTTCTGCCAACCTAGCAGTTTGAATGAAAGGTAAAAATGCAAGTAGAAAAGTAGAATAGGGACCCCTTTGGTGGGAAGGTAACAGCGTTCCGTGCGCCTTCGGCATTTAGTCCTGCCACAGTCCTCGGGTCTCCAGGAGGGATCAGATCCAGTCGGTCTCTCTTCGGGATGGTGCCATTTCTTGATTTTGTCAGCCAGCCCCAACTCCATTTCCATGGGCTGTGATCCACCTGCTTGTATGGGAGTTGCAGTTCAAGATATATCTGTAAAGAGCTCCTGATGGGGAAGATTGGCTTCTGTGCCAGGATCCTTGGCTGACCTTGTTTCCCCTTTGCTCCCCTTCTCTTTGGCAGGATGGCGCTCCACCGCAGCCAGAAGCTTAACCTGCTGCGTCTTGCGGTCCTCCTGACGGTGGCACTGGCTGGCATCAAGTTCTTCTTCCGGGACAGGTGAGTGCTAGGCATTGGAGGGCACATTTCCTGCAGCCTCTGTGGTGCCCCAGGTGGAATGAATTTTATCAGCCCTACCGGATGGTCTCCCTTTTGGCTGATTTCCTGGTTGGGATGAAGCAAAAAATTATATCTGTTATCCAAATATACTTTTTATAATATTTTGGATCTCATATTTTTAATCTCTTGTGGGTTATTTATCAAACTGTGATGTGAATGTGCCATACGATAAAAGAAAATCCCTTTTGGGTTTTGGTTTGCAGGAAGGATCCTTCCAACCTAGAACTAAGGAGATATTTCCTAATGGTGAGAACAATTAACCAGTGGTTTGCATTCCAAAGTTGTGGGGCCTCCATCACTGGAGGCTTTCAAGAGGAGGCTGGACAACCATTGGTCTGAAATGATATAGGGTTTCCTGCTCGGGCAGGGGGTTGGACTAGACGACCTCCAAGGTCCCTTCCAGCTCTGTTATTCTCTGCCTGTAGGGTGGTCTGCTGGGGCAGAGACCTCCTGCAAGGGCTGCCTTTTTCCACGCTAGTCTAGACCTGCAACTCCAGAGCCATTTTTCCTTTCTCCGATCCCCTTCTAGGACTTGCTTCCTGCTGGGGTCTCACCAGGAGTGGGATTCAAAAATCCCAGGAACTGGTTCTCTGCCCGGATGCTAGATGGGTGTGGCCACGGTGGGCGTGGGCTACCTGAACTTCTGGTTCGGCCATTTTTTGCTTTCCCCAGAGTCCGGAGGCTTCCCTCGGGCCTCTGGGAGGGCGAAAACATCCTCCCCCGGGCTCCAGAGGGCCTCCGGAAGCCGGAAACACGCCCATTTCCAGACTTCCGGAACTTCCGTTTCGGCCTGTTTTTTGCCCTCCCAGAGCCTCTGCATGGAGCTCTGTTATCGGCTGCAGAGGCCTTCCGAAAAGCCTTGCTGGCCACAGAAGAAGAAGTTCCTGAAGGCCTCTGACAGCGAAAAGGAGGCTGGGGGACAATGTGCGCAAGTGAGGCGACTCAGTGGATGACATCCCCCCCCCCCCCAAAAAAAATAAGACCTGGTGCCTTTTTTTTGGTGGCAAAAAATTATAAGACAGGGTCTTATTTTTGGGGAAACACATTATTTTAGTCAGGCCTGTTTGTACATCATACACATGGCAAGAGGTTCCCGCTGCATAAATTGTGTCCTTGCCCAACTCTGAATAGCTCAGGGTCACGGAGTATTTCTCCTGGCCCTGAGCCTCCTCTCTGTTCCTCGTTGCAGCTTCACACTGGACCAGCGCAGGGAAATTAACGGGGAAAGCCACTTCTGGGGCAGTGCTCAGGACGTGAAACAGCCAGGCAACACCCAGGCTCGATTGTCGGGACATTTGGATCACCAGGCAGCGGCCGGAGCGCCTGGCCCGGAGTCAAAGAAACTGCCTCACCGGGATTTTAGCTCCACGCAGATGCGGTTGGTCCACCTGGACCTCAAAGGGGCAGCTCCTAAAGTGTCCTACCTGGAGCAGGTGAGTTGCACTGTGAGTGGGGATCCCAGGAGGTGGGATTGTATATCCCTTATTTCCAAGTGGCTAAGACAGTGATGGGGAACTCTTCCAGGGCCACCTGTCAAAAATTCAGAAAACGCCTAACGTGACTTTGCTGGTGTGTGTCTCTCCCCCAATGAAAGATAAACAATGTTTGACATATGTATTTATTTTTAAAAAATACAATTCAATCATATGTAGTGTTATCTTTTATATAAAGCAATGTCAAATAATTACAAAAATGAAAGACAACATACGAAAAACGGTTGCAGGAACTGGGCACGGCTAGTCTAGTGAAGAGAAAGACCAAGGGAGGACAGGATAGCAGTCTTCCAATATTTGAGGGGTGCCACTGACAGGAGGAGGGGGCCAAGCTATTTTTCAAAGCCCCCGAAGGCCAGACAAGGAATAATGGATGGAAACTGAAGAAGGAGAGATTCAACCTGGAAATAAAGAGAAACTTTCTGGCAGTGAGAACAGTCAACCCATGGAACAAAAGTTGCCTTTGATAGTTGTGGGAGCTTCATCACTGGAGGCTTTCAAGAAGAGACTGGACTGGCATCTGTCAGAAATGGTGTAGAGTCTCCTGCTTGGGTGAGAGGGTTGGACTAGATGACCTACAAGGTCCCTTCCAAATCTGTTAATCTGTAAAGTAAAACAAACTCATTTTTGGAGTAGTGCTTTTGAGAATAATTGTTGTCAGGTGGTTGGTGAACACTATTGGCTTGTCACATATGTCATAGGTTTGCCATCCCTTTTCTAAGAACTACTTGTTCTACAGTTGTTTTGTGACACTTTGTGACGCAAATAGCTTTGTATGTATACTTTGCTAAGGTTTTTAGAAACACACACCTTATAATAATAATCATAATCCAGTTTTGTCAGTCTTTAAAGGAAGAAAAAAAATCTACAGCTGAAAGATCTGCACCTTGTAGAGCTATGAAACAATTGCAGGTGTTTTAATTTCCAAGCACTCCCTTTCAAGTAAGGTGCTTTGAGTGCAGGAAAAAAGAAAAAAATCAAGGTGACTCATATTTAAGGCATATCCATTATTTCCTGGAGTGAGCAAGTCTTCCTGTACCAATCAGGTTTGTCTGTTTATCAGATGAATATTTCACCTTTTATGAGTTATTTTGGGTTCTCCTAAATTTTAAAAAGGTGGGAAGTGGTCCCGAGAGGAAAAAGCTTAAGAAACGCTGCTCCAACCTTGGCAACTTTAAGACTTGTGGACTTCAACTCCCAGAATTCCTCAGCCAGCAAAGCACCAGTCTTAAAGTTGCCAAGTTTGGGGACCCCGACCTAGACAGTCTAGAACCGTGTTGGTGAACCTATGGCACACGTGCCAGAAGTGGCACGCAGAGCCATTACTGCCAGCATGTGAGCACTCACCCAGAAAACATGTACTGTGCATGTGTGCGCACTACCCGCCCGATAGCTGATTGTCAGGTATCTGGTGCGCATGTATGGGGATGTGGCAGCGTGCAGGAGACGGGATGGAATTTAACACAGAAATGTAAAGTTCTATGCTGCAGAGGAAAATGGTAAGATGCACATTTGGGATAGGAAAGAGCTGGGTTGAGAGCAGTGAAAAGGATCTTAATTTCCTTGTCCAATGCAGGAGCCAGTAATGTGATGCAGTTACTCAAAATATCTAGTGAAAAGAAAGTCTTGGGGTGCTATGATAGCGGACTTCCAGTATTTGAGGGGCTGCCACAAAGAAGAGGGGGTCAAATTATTCTCCAAAGCAGCAGAAGGCAGGACAAGAAACTGGATGGAAACTAATCAAGGAGAGAAGCAACCTGGAATTAAGGAGAAAGTTTCTAACAGTAAAGAAAATTAACCAGTGGTCATTAAGTTCACGCCCAACCCTCACTGTGATGTCTTGGCCAACATCCTTTGGGGTTGCAGAACTTCTCAAGACGGTCTATGGAAGTCTCAAGGAAGAGAAGCAGCCTTATGTTAAATGTCAGTATATCTTTGTTAGTTATCTAAGTAGATTTTGCATCCAGAAATAAATTCTCCACTTTGGCAATGGAGCTGCTAGGCATGTGGGATGGAAGTGTCCAGCCCCAGAAGCTGCATCTGTTGAATGGCCCGAAAACAGCTTCTGGGATCCCTTGCGGGCTGAGTGGTTGCAAGAGGGGAGGCTGAGAAGTTGCCAAGTTGGGCCAAAGGTCTCCTGCAAATGGCTTGTACTCATTGTGGATGGTGCCCTGGGCTGCTAGTTGGGGGTGAAAGGAGACGGCCTCCCCTCTTCCCTCCCTGCTGGATTCTGTTTCCTCCCCCGCCCCCCAATGCTGAGCTACTCTGACAGCCCTTATGTTTGTTTGTTTGTTTATTTATTTAGTTTGTCAAGCATGTTTGAGAATACAAGTATAAGTATGAACATAACATATAAACATATAAGTATCAACAGGTATAAGTATACACATAATAAATGAGTATGAATAAGTGGGAACAGTAGGACAGGGATGGTAGGCATGCTGGTGCACTTATGCACACCCGTTACAGACCTCTTAGGAATGGGGTGAGGTCCCTGGGAGACAGTTTAAGGTTAAAGCTTTGGGGGTTTCAGGATGTAACAACAGAGTCAGGTAGTGAGTTCTAGGCATTGACCATTCTGTTGCTGAAGTCGTATTTTCTGCAATGAGTTTGGAGCGGTTTTCTTTGAGCTTGTATCTGTTGTTTGCCCGTGTGTTGTTGCGGTTGAAGCCAAAGTAGTCATTGACAGGTAGGATATTGTAGCAGACAATTTTGTTTGACTAAGCTTAGGTGTGTCCTCCTTCCGCACAGATCTTCCCGCTCTTCTCCAAGATGGGGGCCAACGGGGTCCTGATCGAGTACGAAGACATGTTCCCCTTCAGGGGAGAACTGGAGATCCTCAGGTCTCCCTATGCATACAGGTAAGGCAGACTGGGCGGCTTTGGCAAGGGCTGGTGGGGGGAGGGGAGATGGAGGAGCTAGGCCAGGTGTGGCTCTGGCCCTCCGGGGAAGTGAAGACCCTCAAGCTCAGAAATGGTGTTCCTGCGGTGTGCAAGTTTGAGTAGCCAAAATGGGGGGAGGGGGGGGGAGAGGAACCCAGAGCTCATCTGCCATGTTCTCAGTGGTGTGTGGGCATCGGCATTTCACACTGGGCTGCGCAACCTCCCAGTTGGGTTAATGAGTGAACAACAACCGAATGAAAAACTGCTGGTGACCTTCTACCGCTGCACCATGGAGAGTATCTTAACTTACTGCACCTCTGTATGGTTTGCCAATTGCACAGGGGCAGATAGGACGGTGCTCCAGAGGATTAATGTCTTTGCCCAGAGGATCATGGGTTGCCCCCTCCCCTCTTTGGAAGAGCTTTATAGCTCCCGCTGCCTTAAGAAAGTTCAAAACATCCTTAAAGATCCATCTCATCCTGGGAACCCTTTTTTTGAACTATTACCATCTGGCAGACAGTACAGGATAATAATAAAAACAAGGACAAATAGGCTGAAAAATAGCTTCTATCCCAAGGCAGGAGCTCTTTTGAATTCTGCTGTATAATAGTGCAACATTCATGCAATATCAGGGGTTTTCAATTCAATGTGTGGCGTATGAAGGATGTGCGTTTGTGTTTATTTTCACGGTCATGATGTGCACTGAAGTTGGTGTTTGATTTTGTTGTACAAAGTGCCATGACAATAGAGCAAACTAAACTAAAGGAGTAGCTGAAAAGCCAACGGTCCATTCCCTTGGTTGATTCAAAGGGGGGGGGGGGGGGAATATATTTGTTTCTTTACTGCAAGGGCCGGGTGGGCATGTCCCATGCATCTAGCCAGCACCCTTTCAGGGCTGCCTGCGTTTTGAGACAGGATGTGCACCTGTATATATTGTGTGGGTTTGGGGGGAATTTTAAAGAGCAAAACGGACGGAAACTGTGCGGGGGCTCAAGCCTCCTCCCCCTTCCCTCCCTTTAAAAAAAACTCGACTCACCTCTGCAGAACCCCTTTGGCCAGCTGCCCATGGTTGGGAAGTGGCTCTTTTGCTGTGTCCCTTTTGTCAATGGAAGTGGTGCCCGCCCTTCTTCCTCCTTTCACTCCACCATTTCCTTCCTGGGCCCCCATTTATGGCCCGCTCTGAATATCCTGAGCAGTCATGGATTTGTGGAGGAGCAGGAAATTGGGTCTCTGACATGCCCCCCCTCCCTTAAAATGTGCGGCCAGAGGCCAGAGCTTCTCACTGAGATGGGCAAAGCAGTCCCTTTGGGTGGTCTTAGCAGGCCCCCTCCCTCCCTTCTTGTCCTGGCTGGGATCCGGGGCAGGGCTGGCTCAGTGCTGACGACTCCTTTTCTGTCTTGACAGTGAAGAAGACATCGTGAAGATCCAGGAGCTGGCAGGTCTCAATAAACTGGAAATAATCCCGTTAGTGCAGACTTTCGGGCACGTGGAGGTAGGAGTGGCTGGCTGGCTGGCTGTCCTTAATTTGTCCCTTGTGCACTTTGGAGGAATACCCAAGGCCTGGCCTCTGTGGTTTTGCACACATATCCTGGTCACACTCTGATGTGCGCACATGAGGCTTGACTTGAATGGGCTCCAGCTGAGACAAGGAAGACACGCAGCTGTGGCTCAGCCTTGGCCAACAAATTGCTCTGGCATTTTCAACAACACACTGAAGTTGCCCAGAGAATTAACCCTCTTTCCGGTTGTGTGCAATCCATCCAACCATAAACTCAGCCAAATAGGCTGGACTTGCATAATAGGCCCAGCTACAAAATCTAAACCGGGTTAACTCGAACTCAGTTGGCGGATTCTTTTGTTAAACTGCCATGATTTTGTGACAGTAGATTTTATAGGTCACATTCTCTGATTTCACATGCTGATTTTTATTTGGTAGTCTTTCCCCCCTGCCTACTATCCCCATTTTTCTCTGGCCTATGAATAAAACTGAGGGTTCCCCAACAGAACAAAGTAAGTTTGAGGGGTGCAACCGGGTGCTTTAGGCCTGGTTTGGCCAGTCCCTGCTGGAGATGGGCTGCGCCCCAGAGCAAACCACCAAAGCTGGCTTTCTAAGCAGAGTGACAGCACCTGAGGGGATAAACATGAGAGCAGAAGCAGACCCAGCAAAGGGTTTTATTTATTTATATATATTTAACTTTAGTTTATTTTCAGTATACAAGGATGACAAAGAATCTGCCACGAGCAATTTAATACTGCTGGAGAGAGCCACAAGAGCATTGTGATTGATGGTAGTTTAGAAAAAGGTTGCTTTTATTATTATTTTTTATTAAAGGTCGTCCTTGACTTACGACCACAATTGAGCCCAAAATTTATTTGGCTAAGTGGGACATTTGTTAGGTGAGTTTTGCCCCATTTCTTGCCATGGTTGCTAAGTGAATCGTTGCAGTTGTTAAACTAGTAACAGGTTGTAAAGTGAGCCTGGCTTCCCTATTGACTACTTGTCAGAAGGTCGCAAAAAGGGAACACCGCAACTAGTCACAAATAGGAGTCAGTTGCCAAGCATCTGAATTTTGATCACATGATCTCGGGGATGCTGCTGCAATAGTCATAATGTCAACTCATAAAAAAGGTCTGTTAGAGTTGCCAACAGAAAGGGGGGGGGGACGCAGTGGGCAGCTTGCATTCCATCAATGTTTTCAAAGATAGTAACTAGGCGACTGAAGTTTCTGCCAAGCAAAATTCTAACTGGAGAGCCTGATGATTGATGACTCTTGGCTATGGAGGTGTCCCATTGGAGAATATAATTCTAACTGGAGAGCCTGATGGATGACTCTTGGCTATGGAGGTGTCCCGTTGGAGAATATGAATTAGGATACACCCAGCGGGTGAGGGGAAACCAGGGTCAAGGGTGACAATGAATGATGTGCCTCAGAGTCGGCTACACCCAGGCAACTAAACCAAGTGACTCTGGGCAGCTTACAATTCTAAAACAATTTAAAAGACATTGAAACAATAAAACATCCATCCAATAAATAAGTATAAAAAGCAGCTGGGTGTCAACTCATAAAATATTTCTATGGTCTTTTAGAGTTGCCAACAGAAAGGGAGGGGGGAGCAATGTGGCAGCTTGCAAACTGAAACCGCATTCCATCATTGTTTTCAAAGATAGTAACTAGGTGACCGAAGTTTTTGCCGTGCAAAATTCTAACTGGAGAATATGATTGATGGCTCTTGGCTATGGATGTGTCCCATTGGAGAATATGAATTATGATACACCCAGGGGGTGGAGGGAAACCAGGGTCGTGACAATGAATGATGTGTCTCAGAGTCGGCTCCACCCAGGCAGTGCCAGACATGTCTACTACTAATAAATCTTCTTTAAGTTCTGGAAGTTCGGCTAGAGGTTCATGATTTAAATAGGGGTAACTGTCGGAGCCCTAATACATAAGTATGAAAAACATTCATACGTCACTTTTTCCAGTGCTGTTGTAAGTTTGAATGGCCACAAAATGAACTGCTGTAAGCCTAGGACTACGTATATTTAAGTAATTGAGAATTTGAAGAGGAACTTCATTGAGAAGTTAATAGCTTACCAAAATCATCAAGTACAACACTTAATAATAATAGTCATAGGGTACAATAAGCACTGAAATCATACTAGGAAACAGTCAATAAGGATACAAGTGACAAAGTTACAATCATATAGTCACAAGTGGGAGGGAATGGGCGATAAGGAATGATGAGAAGATTAACAGTAATAGTAGTGCAGACTTTGTAAATAGTTGGACAGTGTTGAGGGAATTATTTGTTCAGCAGAGTGATGGAATTCAGGAAAAAACTCTCCTTGTGTCTGGTTGTTCTGATGTGCAGTGCTCTATAGCATCGTTTTGAGGATAGGAGTTGAAACAGTTTATGTCCAGGATGCGAGGGGTCTGTAGATATTTTCACAGCCCTCTTTTTGACTCATGCTGTATACAGGTCCTCGATAGAAGGCAGATTGGTAGCCATTGATTTTTCTGCAGTCCTAATTACTTTTTGAAGTCTCCGTCAGTCCTGTTGGGTTGCAGAACCAAACCAGACAGTTATAGAGGTGCAGATGACAGACTCCGTAATTCCTCTGTAGAACTGGATCAGCAGCTCCTTGGGCAGTTTGAGCTTTCCGAGTTGGCGCAGAAACAACATTCTTTGTTGTGCTTCTTTGATGATGTTTTTGATGTTAGGTCTCCATTTTAGGTCTTGTGATATGATAAAACCTAGAAATTTGAAGGTCTCTACTGTTGATACTGTGTTGTCTAGTATTGTGGGAGGTGGTAGTATGGGAGGGTTTCTTCTAAAGTCTACCACCATTTCTACGGTTTTGAGTGTGTTCAGTTCCAGATTGTTCCGGTTACACCACGAGGCAAGTTGTACAACCTCCTGTCTGTAGGTGGATTCGTCGTTGTCTCGAATGAGACCAGTCGCTGTTGTGTCATCAACAAACTTCAATATTTTAACAGATGGATCGTTTAAGATGCAGTCATTGGCATATAGGTATATAGGGAGAAGAGAAGTGGAGATAGCACACAGCCTTGGGGTCCCCTGTGCTGATTGTACAGGTATCGGAGGTGATTCCGCCTAGCTTCACCTGCTGCCCTCCTGTCTGTTAGGAAGCTTATGATCCACTTACAAGTGTGTTCAGGTACCGCTAGTTGGTTTAATTTACTTAGAAGAATGTCTGGAATGATGGTATTGAATGCTGAACCTGAAGTCTACAAAGAGGACCATGTTCTACTAGTAAGAACTTTGCGAATGAACTAGGAATTCCTGGGTTGAGACTTGGTCTGCAGCTCTTCCGCGGTGCTATTTTGCTAACCAGAACAGGGTTTTGTGGCTGAAATCCTTAGTAATCAAAATGATTCTATTATTTAAAAGGGAATGCGAAGACCTCCCTGCTTTAGAACAGGTTCCTTAAAAGATAGGCAGGGGCTATCTTGGTTTATTTCTGCAAGACTGTTTGGGGGCACAACAAAGAAACTGGTTCAGAGTCGCTCCCAGCAGTATCCTGTTCCCAAGCAATTAGTGCCTCGTTCTTTTCAGAATGAAAATAAAATAAGAGTACCAATCCAGAACAAACCCTAATTTCCAGCAGTTAAAAACAATGATGCAGGTAGTCCTCAATCTAGGACCGATCATTCAGAGTTACAACGGACCTCTTCCGGCCTGCTTACAAATCGAACATCCAATGGCCGGATCCCCCTGAGGTCACACGATCGCATTTTGGGAGCTTGGCAAGTGGCCCGTATTTATGGCCATTTGCAGCACCCAGCAGTCAATTACTTGACTGCAATTTATGATTTTTAACTGAAAAATACCCCTTGGGGACAAAGTATTCATTTAATGACGGCTGCAAAAAATGTCTTAAATTGGGCATGATCACTTGGTAACCTGCTTAACGACTGGCATGAACTTGTAACTGTAATTCTGGGCTCGACTATGGTCATAAGTCAAGGAAGTACTTGTAGTCCTATTTCAACAATCAAATTGCGCAGTACACTCAAGGGTGAGTTAACAATTTTGAGATATCTCTTCACAAATTTAATCAAAACTATGCAGACGTACTTCAGAAGCTGAAAATAAATGTGTTTTCAATCGACATGCCCAAAATACTGTATTATCCAAACCTGCAATATAGAAATGGAGATTGAAATTAAGTAGAAAACGGTAGCACGAATTGCTATAAAAGAAGGAATAAAGCAGGAAATCCATAATCCATCTGAATTTTCTTTTGAAATTCCAAATCAAGAGCAATTTGATGAAAAACTCTAGAGTCTGTTTGTCTACTTGCTACTTAAAGAAACAGTCGTGCATAATGTTCTTCTATCTGTTAGTTCTTTTATAGTTCTTAACATATATAAAAAACAGCAAGGTTAATGTTAAATTTGTTTATCAGTCAGGAAGGTTTGTTTCATGCATTTTATCAAAAAAGAAGGGTGAAATGTCAAGAGGATTTTCATTGTAAAGCAAGCTAGAAGTGGGCAAGGCCAGCCAACATTTATAGCCTCTATTAATGCTGGAAAAGTAGAGTTATAAGATATCATTTATACGCAGCTTTCATTGATGTAAAAGCTGCACTTCATTTGGTTCCGCCATTTGTTCCCCTTAACAGACTTCAATAGTAGCAAACAAAAGATGTTTTGTCAGTAGCAAACAGAAAGCTTAAAGCCTAGATATTGAATCTGGTTTTGAGTTGCACTTTATTCTCTCAGAGCTAATGTTTCTACTTCGGTGGATTTTTATAGATTGGCTTTAATAAAATATGTATCTTTTCTTGCGTTCTACTGATTTAAAACTCCCTTGTAAAAAGGTGAGTAGACCAAGTATGCTAAAATATTATCCAGCCATCTGTGTCTCCCCCAAAGTGGTGATACTGGTATTGGGCTGTTTTTGGAAGGGTTCAGCAAACAAGGTCAGGAAAACGTAGGCCACGTGTGGATATTCCTAGCGGGGGACACCCCAGGGGTGAAGACCATCCCAGCTGCCTAGTTACAGGAGCCCTGGTGGTGCAGTGGTTAGAATGCAGCATTGTGGGCTGACTCTGCCCACAGCCAAGAGTTCGATCCTGACCGGCTCGAGGTTGACTCAGCCTTCCATTCTTCCAAGATCGGTAAAATGAGGACCCAGATTGTTGGGGGAAATGTACCAACTCTGTAAACCACTTAGAGAGGGCTGTAAAGCACTATGAAGCTGTATATAAGTGCTATTTTGCTATTGCTGTTCCCCAGCCAACATGCTGGCTGGGGAATTCTGGGAACTGAAGTCCATGTGTATTAAAGCTGCTAAGATTGGGAAACTCTGTTCCAGCCTCTCATATTATAGGGCAACTTCTCAAAAAAGAATTAAAGGTGTCTGCAGGATGTAGTTTAAAAAGTCAAAATGGCAGCCACAGCAGACTAATCAAGGTAGGTAGATGCACATGAAGTCAGGCAGAGCTTCAGCTGCACTGTCATGGCCTCCATCTTGCTTTTGTTTGTTTTTTGATACTCCTGACTGAAATCAACAGCCTGCTATAAAAGAAGATACTTGGCTGCTCTAATTGCCATTTAACTCAGCTTAGAGGAGGACAGTCCCATGCTGGCTAGGGAATTCTGGGAATTGAAGTCTACACATCTTAAAACCGCAAAGATTGAGAAACACTGTGCCGAAGGATATAATATAAATGGACTGATATTAACCAATTTGAATATCATAACATAGAAAAAATGTCCTGAAAATTATATATTAGAAAAGAGAACATTTAGGAGATTCTAAATATTAGAATATACTGTTAAATTAGTGTTCCAGTCAATACGATGGACAGTTACAGCAATCAATGGAATATGTATGGAAATACAGCAAGCAAAACAGAAGAATCTAAAATCTAGGCCAGCAAATCTGGAGAATGACTCTCAGACCACCAGATAGGAAGAAGTTGGTTGACAGTTCAATACCAAACGAAGGAGACCTAACAGCATATCAACTACTGTACAATATCCTTAATTTCACATGCAAGTATAGAGCTGTCCATGGAAAGAGACATCAGATGTTCAAGCCGGCTTTTTAAAAGGCTGAGGAACTACACATTATTGCTGAATAAATGCTGGATCTCTGGTAAAGCCATAGAACCAAAAAGAAGTCCGTATGAGCTTCGTTGATTATGGAAAGATCTTGGATTGTGTCCATCGCATCTGTGGAATTTTCATAGGAAATTGGGGCTCCTACAGCATCTCATTGTCTTCTTGCAAAATTCATACACAGGTCAGGGAGTCACAGTTCAGGCAGAACAGAGGAAAACAGACCTACTCCAGGTTGGCAAGAAACTGAGTCAAGTCTACTTAGTTTCCCCTTATTTAGTCAATCAGCACTGAATATTTTGAGGAAGCCCCAAAGGCAAGTCAGAACTGAGGAAGCTTCCTGGATGAGAAGCAAAAGGTCTTCAAGGAAAAACCAAGGAAGTCCAGATGCCTTTTGAAAAAGCATCTTTGGAGTAACCATGAGCTGGATGACTGAGAATCTCCATAGACCTTTTGAGGGAGGTTAGATTGGAGGATAATGACCATGGATTGAAATCTGAAAGAAGAAGCTCTTGTCTGCCATAACACAAGTCCTTTCTAGGTTTTTGTTGCTGCAGTGACCCATCCAGGCAACAAATTAGTAACAATCTTATGGTGGGCTAATATCTTTTCTAGCTTTGAATGCAAACCTTGTCTCCTGTCAACTCCACACTGGCCTCAAGGCAAGAAAAACCAAAAGTACACATATAGACCGGGTGAAACCAGGTTTAACAACAGTGAGAGGGATCTTGGGGTCTTAGTGGACAACCAGCTAAATATGAGCCAGCAGTGTGCGGCAGCAGCCAAAAAAGCCAATGCAATCCTAAATTACATTAACAGAGAGATACAATCGAGATCAAGTGAGGTATTAATACCACTCTACAAAGCCTTAGTAAAACCACACCTAGAGTACTGCATCCAATTTTGGTCACCACACTATAAAAAAGATGTTGAGATTTTAGAAAGAGTGCAGAGAATAGCAACCAGGATGATGTGGGGACTGGAGGCTAAAACATACGATGAACGGTTGGTTGCAGGAACTGGGCTTGGCTAGTCCACTGAAGAGAAGGACATGGGGAGACAGGATAGCAGTCTTCCAATATTTGAGGGGCTGTCACAGAGAGGAAGGGGTCAAGCTATTTTCCAAGGCACCCAAAGGCCAGACAGGGAACAATAGATGGAAACTGAACCAGGAGAGATTCAACCTGGAAATAAGGAGAAACTTTCTGACAGTGAGAACAATCAACCATTGGAACAGCTTGCCCTCGGAAGTTGTGGGAGCACCATCACTTGAGACATTCAGGAAGAGATTGGACTGCCATTTGTCAGAAATGGTGTAGGGTCTCCTGCTTGGGCAGGGGGTTGGACAGAGGACCTACAAAGTCCCTTCCAACTCTGGTTATCTGTTATCTCATCTCCAGGTCCACTTCTTCAAGACATGACTAACAGCTCCTTCTTTCTTTCTTTCTGTCTTGCAGTTTATCTTGAAACATGAGAAGTACCGGCATCTGCGTGAGGTGGAGCGTTTCCCCAACAGCTTCAACCCCCACCTGCCAGAGACCCTGGCCCTCCTGAAGGCTCTGCTCACCCAGGTCCTCAGCAAGCACCCCCACTCCAGTTGGGTACACATCGGGGCCGATGAGGTACATAGAGGGAGAGAAGTCTGCTGCATGGTTGGGGGATCCCTCTCTCTTTGGACACTGCCCTTGTCTAGAAACAATCTGCCAGAGGGAGCAGTTTGCCATTCATTTGAGTTAGTGGCTAAAAGAATGGCCCTGCGAGCATGAAAGTTTGGTTGGTGCAATGGACAGTCGATGCCCAAACCCAACCTTATTCTCTGTGTTAACCTCATGCCTCAAGGTCGTGTTGCCAACATTTAATGGCCAAAAGAGCCATTAAAGAGCTAGGTCCAGGAAAGATGTGGGGCTCAGTGTGTCTATTTTAATTTGATTCTGCACTTCCCTCCCATCCTTCCCGCTCCATCCCCTCAGATCCTTCATCCCAGCCTGACTGGGGCCACAGTTGTGCTCGGGAAGTTCAAATGGGTTGAAAGCAGCTCATCCTTTCAGGGCATCAAGACGTGTCCTCTGTAATGACTTTTTGGGGAGATTGGAAAACCGTCTGCCTGAAATGGCATTGGGTTGCCTGCCTGAGTATGGGGTTGGACTAGATGACCTCCAAGGTCCCTTCTAACTTTTCTGTTCTGTTATTCCCAGCCATTTTCCCAGTTCAGGATCCTTGGAAGGAGCTTGCTTCTTTCTCGCCCACGAAATAACAGATCTTCTGCCTCTTCCTTTCAAGAGATGTTTTTCTCCAGCAGCCCTTTGGGGAATTATGCACGTAGCAAAGCAGCACATAACATTTTCCACCGTTCTGTGTCACATGCGGACAAGGTTTTGTTGGCATTCTAACAGATCTTCCCTTTGTGCATGCACAGATATATGAAATCTGCTTTTGTCATTACAGAAGATCATGCAAAAACATACTCTGGGAGGTTATTGGAGTTAACAGAGCCGTAAAAAAGAGAAAAACTCCATGTTTCTAAGACAGTTTCTTTAAAAAGGCTGATTCCTATATTTTTGTTTTTTGCAGCTTTAGACATTTTGAGAACCTTTGGGAACCAAGCCATCCTTATTTATCAGCCTGCTATTAGCTCTAGCTGAGATTTAATACAGTTCTGTTAGAAAAGAGTTCCAAGTTACCCTTGGACCTGCTTGTTACTAAAATTAGCCTCTTCGGTGTGTTAAAAACAGCAGTTGGGTATATTTATACTTCTGAGTTTCCAAGTTAATCATTCCCCCGAGCATTGACAGGCATTCATTCAACGACTTGTTTAATATTTCTGATCAGGAAACTGAAACAGGATGAGGCTTGGTAGCCATGGGGGGGGGTGGGGGGGGTGTCCTCGAGGAGAAAGTCTTGTAGATGAGGGTATGAAGTGAGAATACACTCTGCCCTTTGGTAGCCCAAGCTGGAGGGAGCATTTAACAGAATAATTACAGCAGGAAGGGACCCTTGGAGGCCTTCTAATCCAACCCCCTGCGAAAGCAGGAGACCCTATACCAGTGGTGGCTAACCTTTTTGGGCTCCTGTGCCAAAAAATGTTTGCGTGCTTGTGCTCGCTCGTGTGCCAGCACCCAGAAGGCAATGCACACACGTCCCTATGCATGCATACGCAATCCCCCTTCCCCCCCCCACGCTGCCCCCTTACCTGCACTGTGCCTTCCAGCTGATTTTTGGCCCATTTGAGACCTTTATTGACCTCCTAGAGGCTTGAGGGCCTTTTTCGTCACTTCCGGTATTTCCGGAAATACAGGAAGTGATGAAACGGGCCTATTTTTCGGCCTGCAAAGGCTGCAGAGGCTTCCCTCAAGCCTCTGGGAGGCTGAAAAAGGCCTCAAACGGGCCAAAAAACAGCTGTGAGGTGCGTGCATGTGCAGTTTGCCTGGGGCTCATGTGCCCGCACAATTGGCTCTGTGTGCCACCTATGGCACGCATGCCATAGGTTTGCCACCACGGCCCTGTACCATTCCAGACAAGTAGCTGTCCAGTCTCCTCTTAAAAACTTCCAATGATGCAACACCCACAACTTCTGGAGGCAAGTAGTTCCACTGGTTAATTGTTCTCACTGTTAAGAAATTTCTCCTTAGTTCTAGGTTGGTTCTCTTCTTTGATTTGGGAACTTCTGTCTGGAACAGCTGTCAGAGTTCCAAGTAACAGACCCAACTCAAACAAAGCTTGAGGCCTGAGTGTTCCACAAAGAATAGATTTATTGGGCATGACATATTGGCACATCTGGGGAAAACCCGATTCTAAAGCCCTGCGGTTTCCCCCACCCAAATTAAAAGTAAATGTTCTTTCCCCCCCTCCCCTTTACCTGTCCATCGCATGGTCCAATCAGGTTCACAGTCCATGTGTCAATTAGTCCCAGTCCACGCCTTCCCAACACCTGGTGAGAGTGTCCTTGGTTCCCATAAGAAAGATTTTTATTGTGGCTGCAAGTCCCCAGCTATCTCTTTTCCCCTCCTCTCGCTCCCACAGCTCCAACCAGCCCGGCGGTGGCAGCCCTGGAGATGCTCAGAATGACTTCAGGGTTGTCGACAGCCCCGTTTTTCTCAAGTGCAGGTGGAATCCCTTCCCATTCAACCCATCCCAAAACGAGGGATTGGGATGGTTGCTTCATCCACTATAAAAGGGCAGAGCCTGCTGGGGGAAACAGCACCACCACCCCCACTCTGCCCTGCTCAGGCACTTCTGTGGCCCTGCAGGTCTTCCACTTGGGCGAAGGGCTGGATTCCAAGAACTGGATGGCTCGCAACGGGGGCGACACGGGCAAGATGTACCTCAACCACATCCGGGAGGTGGTGCAATTCATCGCCAGCCAGCCATGGGGGCAGCAGGTGCTGCTCTGGGACGACATGCTGCGGAAGGTTGGCGTCGCAGCCATCCAAGGTCAGTGCCACACCCCCGCCAGGACTATCCCGGGCTGTCGCTGGCATTAGCCTGCCCGTCTTGCAGTGGTCTTCCTCGACGCTGTCCCTGCACACCTGGAGGGTGGGGTGAGGTCCGCGGCTGTGATTGGCTGAGGTGACCTAATGTCCAGGGGTGGGATTCAAAAATCCCAGCAACTGGTTCGCTGCCCGGTTGCTGAGTGGGCGTGGCCATGGTGGGCGTGGCCTACTGGAACTTCCGGGGGGGCCGTTTTTTACTTTCCCCAGAGTCCAGAGGCTTCCCTCGGGGTCTGGAGGCTCTCCAGAAGCTGGAAACCGGCTCGGTTTTGGACTTCCAGGAGGCCCGTTTTTCCCCTCCCAGAGCCTTCGTGCACTTACCTGCCTCCAAAACGGGCTGCGTGGAGAGTCCTGGGAGGGGAGGGTTGAGCGGGGCCAGCCAGTTGGTTCAACTACCGGTTCAGCGAACCAGATGTACATTTAACATCCGGTTTGCCTGAACCGGTCCGAACCGGCTGAATCCCACCCCCTGCTTATGTCACATTGGAGGTTGGGCAGGGCTGAGCAGGAGAGAGAGACCGTCATGTGCCCGAAGCAGTTCAGCCATTCCAGAGAAGCAGGGAGGAGGTGGGGTGGGCAGAAGAGGGACCCCAGTGCTGAGAGAGAGAAGCTGCCAAGGGAAGTTTTGAGCCCTTGGTGTGAAGTCACCCACCCGATCCTCGGCTGCAGGGCTTTCGTGCTCCATTCAAGGTTATGGACTTGGAGAAGTCACCTGTGCAATCTCACCCAAGGACTGACCGATGTCTTTCAGATTCCGGCATTGCCAAACACGCATCTCCCGTGCTGTGGTTTTACGCTCCAGACTTCGATACGCAGCAAATAGGTTGGCTTCCCATCTTCTTTTCTTTTTTCTTTTCCCTTTTCTCTTTTCTCTTTTCTTTTCTCTTCTCTTCTTTCTTTTCTCTTCTCTTTTCTCTTCTCTTTTCTTTTATCTTTCTCTTTTCTCTTTATTTTCTTCTTTTCTTTTCTTTTTTTTCTTTTCTTTTCTCTTTTCTCTTTTTTCTTTTCTTTTCTCTTTTCTCTTTTCTCTTCTCTCTTTTTTCTTTTCTTTTCTCTTCCCTTTTCTCTTTTCTTTTCTCTTCTCTCTTCTCTCTTTTATATTTTCTTCTTTTCTTTTCTTTTCTCTTCTCTATTTTCTTCTTTTCTTTTCTTTTCTCTTTTCTCTTTTCTCTTTTCTCTTTTCTCTTTTCTCTTTTCTCTTTTCCCTTCTCTTTTCTCTTCTCTTTTTTCTTTTCTTTTCTTTCATGTCTTTGCAGTGTGGGTAAGGAAGTTAAGCAGTTGATCAAAACAAGACATTTTTGTTTCTTGAAAGGATCCCTTGTATCCCAGTCGGCATAAAGGGAGGGGCCCTCTCGTTTTAACCCCTCACAACCCCCTTCCTGTGAAACTGGCGTCTCTGAGACAGGGAAGCCTCGGGTGTCGCTTTGCCTGGGATCCCACAGCTCTCCTCACCTGCCTCCCCAAAGCCAACTCCCTGAGGGCTCTTGGACACCCCTTCAAGTTCTGAGCAGCCCAGGAGCCGGCGTGGAGCACGGGTGACCCTCCCTGCCCTTTCCTCTAGGCAGGTACATTGAAAAATACGCCGAGTGCGGGTTCTCCACCATCTGGTTTGCGAGCGCCTTCAAAGGCACCACGGGCCCCGCCCAGGCCTGGACCCCCTTCAACACCCACCTGCAGAATCACCTGCGGTGGCTGAAGGTCATCCAGTCCATGGAGAAGACGCCCTCCATCCGCTTCCAGGGCATCGTGCTCACCGGCTGGCAAAGGCAAGTGTGGAGGAAGGGGGGGGGGAAGGGGGGGGAGAAACAGAGTTTGGCTTCCCAGGAATCCCAGCCCTCCTCCATCCGCTTCCCCCACCCCACCCCAGGGGAGAAGAAGGGCCCCCCAGTCTGGCTCCAGGGCTCCTCCCACAGGCAGCTGTGGGCTCTGCCAAGGCTTTAGATGAGGCAGGGTCCCCTTTCCGCTCCCCCAGTTTAAGGCTGGCAGAACTGGAGGCCCTGCTGCTTAGCTCCCCAGGGAGAGGGAGGAGAGGGAGGGGGTCAGGAGCGCCTTGGGCCACGGCCCTCCCCCAGGAGAAACACCCGGGCTTAGCATGCCCCTCTTGCCTTTAGAGAGTCCCCACCCTAAAGAAAAAGGAGGCCTTCTGCAGCCTTGGGGCGCTCCCCCCCCCGGCCCCCATATCTTGCTTTTTGCACTGCTAGCAAGGAGGACGAGATCCCCTGCCCGGATAGGCCAAATGGGGGGGATCCAGTGGGTTCCAAAGGAGCAACCGCCTCCTCTTCTCTCTGCAGGTACGACCACTACTCTGCTTTGTGTGAGCTGCTGCCCGTCGGGATCCCCTCGCTGGCTGTATGCTTGCAGACCCTGGCGAACGGTGAGAGGGGAGCCCCTGCGTGGGGAGGGGGAAGGTGGGCAGGGGTTTATATCGATCGGAATAGAGCTGGAAGGGACCTGGGGGGGGGGGTCATCTAGTCCACCCCCTGCCCAAGCTGAAGACTGTGTACCATTCCAGACAAACGATTGTCCAGTCTCATCTTAAAAACCTCCAGTGATGAAACACCCACAACTTCAGGAGGGAAGCTGTTTCGCTGGGGGATTGTTCTCCCTGTCAGGAAATGTCTCCCTTAGTTCCAGGTTGCTTCTGTCCTTGATTAGTTTCCGTCCATCCCTTCTTGCCTTCTGGTAGAATAATTTGACCCCTTCTTCTTTGTGGCAGCCCCTCAAAGGCCAGAATACTGCTCCCATGTCCCTCCCAGTCCTTTTCTCCAGACTAAAGGCAAATATGTGTTAGCCGTTTCCGGCTCTAGGGAGCGCTGCTCATCTCAGTTTCAAAGCCGAACAAGAGCCAGAGCTGTCCGAAGACGTCTCCGTGGTCATGTGGCCGGCATGACTAAACGCCGAAGGTGTACGGAACGCTGTTCGTTTCCCACCAAAGGGGTCCCTATTGTTCTACTTGCATTTTTTAACATGCTTTCGAACTGCTAGGTTGGCAGAAGCTGGGACAAGTAACAGGAGCTCACTCCGTCATGCGGCGCTGGGGATTTGAACCGCCGAACTGCCGACTTTTCTGATCGATAAGCTCAGTGTCTTAGCCACTGAGCCACCGCGTCCCTTCCTCTAGAGTAGACGTACCCAATTCCTGCAACCCTTCTTCATGTGTTTTAGTCTCCAGGCCTTTAATCATCCTAGTTCAGGGGTGACAAAGTCAAGGCCCGGGACCTGAATCCGACCCGTGAGGTGCTTAGATCTGGCCTGCAGGGCTGCCCTGGAAACAGCGAAGGACCGGCCCACGGTGCCTCTGCCAGTGAAAACGGAGATAGCGAAGGCCACCCCCTCCCCCCGCACCCTGTTTTCACTGGCAGAGGGTGTGCAGGAGGCTGTCTTGGCCGAAAACGGAGCTCGGGAGCCTGTTTTCTCTGGCAGAGTGCTCGGGCACCCCCAAACACGAGTGATGTTGAGCTGGCCATGCCCACCCGAGCCCCCGAGGTCAAACACAACCCTGAGGTGACCCTCAATGAAATCAACACCCCTGGCCTAGTTGCTCTTCATGGAGGACTTTACGAAGAGGGTACTAGGGGATTCCTGCAGGGCAAGCCAAACCTGCAGCTTGTAGCATTTCTAGCATTTCTAGGTTGCGGAGATCCACCGAGGGAGCGGATGCGATGCAAACCATTGGCTGCTTGGACTGGTGGGGGGAGGGAAGGGGGGGTAATCCACACACACCTGTTCTCTGGCAGCCTCTCCAACTGGCAGGACTTTGGGGCCCCCCAGTGGTGCCTTGAAGAAGGGCTGCCTCATCCTCTGCAGATGCCAGAACCTCCTTTGGGGAGGCCCTCCAGCTGCGCTCCGAATACCCTGCCAAAAGGGGGGCTGGAGCCCCCCCTCCCTTGTGGGGAAAGAGATGTAGCGCCTGACCCTTTTGTCTCTTAGAAAAAAGCTTTTCCTAACTTCTGGTTCCATGGGGAGACGTTTCCCTTCTGACTGTATTGGAGAGGTTCTTGAAATAATTTCCTTACAAGCGTTGTTGTTGTTAGTTGCGAAGTCGTGTCCGACCCACCACGACCACATGGACCACGTTCCTCCAGGCCTTCCTGTCCTCTACCGTCCTCCAGAGTCCATTTAAGCTCAGGCCGACTGCTTCAGGGAGTCCGTCCAGCCCCCTCCTTCTCTGCCATCCCCTTCTTCTTCTATTGCCCTCCATCGTTCCCAGCCTTCGGCTCTTCTCCAGTGAGCCTTTCCTTCTCATGAGGTGGCCAAAGTCTTTTGAGTTTCAGCATCAGGATCTGGCCTTCTAAAGATCTCTAGGACCGGCCGGTTGGATGGCCTTGCAGTCCAAGGGACTCGCAGGAGTCTCCTCCAGCCTCCATTCTTTAGCGCTCAGCCTTCCAACTTTCACACCCATCCATTGCAACTGGGAAAAACCATAGCGATTGCAATTTACATCTATCGTATTTACATTGCAAGCATATGAAGAGTTAAAAACTGGTGGGTTGTTTTTTTTTGTCTGTTGCCAACACATAATTAATTTCCAGAGTCTTGCCACAGGAAGGATAGGCAAGGCCCCTTGATGGTTCTTAAAACAGATGAAATGACCATCCTAACGCCTGGTCTGAGCCAGGGTTATCCTGGCTAACTCTGGTTTGTCAAATCCGGTTTCTGCCAGATGGGTAGACAGGGGTTCCTGGGTGTGAGCAGGGCAGGTTTTTCTGCACATTCGTTGTGTCTGGGGGCTTAAGGGGTGAAGAGTCCCTTAGCCCAGGGGTCTCCAACCTTGGCAACTTTAAGACTTGTTGGACTTCAACTCCCAGAGTTCCTCAGCCAGCAAAGCTGGCTGAGGAACTCTGGGAATTGAAGTCCACAAGTCTTAAAGTTGTTCAGGTTGGAGTTCCCTGCCTTAGCCAGATGTTCAGAAAATTGGGACCCTGTCCCCAGCGGCGCCCATCACAGTTCTGGGGTCCAAAAGAGAAAATTGTCCAACCTGGTTCCTCCACCTCTCTCTCTCTCTTATCATGTTAACTCAGCCAAGGTTAGTTTAGAGCGTTAGCAGGTTGTGGCTTCATGCGACGTCCAATCTGGGTCAGGGATTACAGATGCAAAGATTAAAGAGCTGGCAGAACAACTGGTGGAAGAGGGCTGCCTTTGTGGAACAGGGCAAGGGGTGGGGGGATGATGATCTGAAAATGCAGAGAGTTGTTGCAACTGGACCGGTCTGATTCTGCTTCGCGGTCAAAAAAAATAATCCCATGCCCGTTTGGGGGTGGCACTTCCAAAAGGCACCCATTGCTGTTGCAAACTCCCCTCCAGGGCTCTGCCAGGCCCCCCCTGATGCCCCAGGTGCTCTTCCTGCCTCCCAGAAGTGACTTGGGCAGTTGGCGGAACAAAAGTCCAGGGCAGAGGCAGCCTCTCTACTCCCCAACCCTGAATTCTTCTTTGAAGAGAGGGAAGAATTCGTTTCCTCCCTGGGGATGGATATGGCCTCTCGCCTCTTACGCTTGGGGACAGCACAAGGGCCTCCCCACTCCCTCCAGCTTCACCAATCTGGTGCTCTTCCGAAGGGAATCTAACTGGTCAGACCGGTTCTATGGAACCGGTTGTTACGATTCTGCGCAGTTCGGAGAACCAGCAAATTGTGCCCCTGGCTGGCCCCTCCCCTCCCACTCACTCCTGGCATGCGCTCCATCAAACTTGCCTGTGTTTGATAAATTGCTGTGCCGGGAGATTTAGATTAGCTAGAAAGCAGGAAATTGTTGGATTTCTTGCTTTCTAGATAACCTAACAGCGGAGCTGAATCTTAGAACTGAAGCTTCTATTTTTCAGTGCAAACTCTGGTAGCAGATTGCAGAATGGTAGATCTCTGAATGAATCTGTGATTCTGTGAGCAACTCAATCTGCCTGCCTGCTTTCCCTGATGTGGGGTAAAAGTTGCTCTTTTTTTCATAAAAAATTCAATATTTACATAAATATTTATAATATTTATACATACAAGCCATGCCCAGACTGTCACATGACCACCAAGCCACACCCATCAATTAGGCCACACCCACAGAACCGGTTGTTAAAAAATTTGAATCCCACCCCTGCCAAAGCTCCTTAAGTAAAGGGGCCATTTAAGCTGGACTTTCCCACCTGCAGCCTGCCTTCCCTGCCTTCCCACATTGGGTCACACTTTCCTGCCTCCTGTTTGCTTGGGCAGCCAGATCAAGGGCAGATTATGGGTAGTCCTCAACTTACGGCCACAGTAGAGGCCAAAATTTCACGTTGTTAAGCGAGACGGATGTTAAGTGAGCTGTGCCCCATTTTACGGCATTTTGTGCTACCGTTGTTAAGCAAATCCTTGCATTTGTTAATAACACGGTTGTTTAAGTGAATGCTCCCCCCCACCATCGACTTTTCTTGTCTGAAGGTCACAAAAGGGTATCACGTCACCCCGGGACACTGCAAATGGTCACAAATAGGAGTCAGTTGCCAAGTGGCTGAATGTTGATCACGTGACTATGGTGCAAAGGCCATAAATGTGAAAAACTGTCATAACCAGGGGTGGGATTCTACTGGTTCAGACTGGTTCAGTAGAACCGGTTGTTACGATTCAACGCAGTTCGGAGAACCAGCAAATCATGGCCCTGGCTGGCCCCTCCCCTCTCCATCCACCCCTCCTCTCCCCACCCAGTCAGTCCTTAGTGCGCACATGCCCGACATTGCTGACTGCAATCTCCCCCACCTGCCCCACCCAGTCACTCCTTAAGGTATTTCTTTTTTTTCCCCTCCCAACAATCAGCTGTTCCAATGACCAGCTGTGCCGGGATCCCCCTCGCTGTCTTACTGCTTCGCCCAGGAGGCTTCCCTGAGGCCCAGGAGGCCAAAAAAAAACAGAGCACGGGGGGTGGGTGCTGAAAAAAAAAGAAGCCATGCCCACCCAGTCACATGGCCGGTCATAACTCGCCTTTTTCAGTGCTGCTGCAGCTTCGAACAGTCACTACATGAACTGCTTTAAGCCGAGGACTAACCTGTAGCACGCGGTGTGCAGACCGGTCCGTGTGCAAGGGACAGCGCAAGACGTTGTCTCTGGGCTACGCACGCTGTGGCTCTGCACACCTTTCGGCCACGGCTTCCCCAGGCCAGGCAGGCAGGCAGGCAGGCAGGCAGGCGACGGGGCAGTCTCCGGCCAGTGGGGGCGGCCCCTTTCCCACACTTGCCCCCCCCAACCTTCACCCCCTTCTTCTTCTGTCCCTCAGGAGGCTTCACAGACGCTGCCAAAAAGAAAGTCCTGGCCATCCTTGGCTTCCAGAACCTGCACCCGGAAAAGAACACTTGGTGGGTACACAAAAGGGGTCGAGGTGTGTGTGTGTGGGTTGCTCGTCCAGGGTTGAGGCTAGTAATGGGGGTCTGCCTTTAAGTCAGCCATTCCTAGCCCAAGGGTACTCCAAAGCTCATCATCCCTAGCCAGGGGAAGCCCATGATGGGCTAGCAATGGCCGGGCTAAGAGCCTGGGCAGGTGCGCAGGGGGTGGGAGCAGGTGTCTCTTCAGTGCCTCTGTAAAAATGCCGCTTTCTGCACTGGAGAGAATGGAAGGCAACCCCTGGCGTCTTTGCATCTTCTCAGCGAAGGAACCGGCACGTTTCCAGGCTCCGATATCTACCGCCTGGTCGAGCAAGTGGACAGCCAGCTGAAGGACTCGGTCAGCAAAGTCTTGGAGGATGAAAGGTAGGTGCTGGCAGCAGAGGGGCCTGGACTTGGCCAGGGAGGTGGGCCCGGCCCCAGGTTCCCCTCGGTCTCCTTCTGGTTGCCCCCTCCTCCAAGGTTAAAGTGCCCCTGATTCTGGAGGGCAAGGAAGTGGGGTGCAGCTTCCATCAGTGGACCCTGGTTTGGGGCTTCTCAACATCAGTGAGAAGTCGGTGGAAGAGATCTCTTGGCTGCTTCTAACATTTTTATCCTAAGTTCTTAATAGGGGACTTGCTTCCCCCTGGTTAGACCTCCTGCTCTGTTTTCAACTAGTCCTCGTCTTGTTCAGAGTATTGCAGCGTAAATTCAGCGCCAGAAAAGTAAATAAGATGGCTGAGGCTTCATTTAACTTCTTTATAAACACATAAAGTAAATTTTACAATACCAGCTGTAGATTTCTCCAACAGATTCAGAGCAGAACAGCAACTCAGGAGCTGAGAAACAGACATCAGTTTCACTTTAGTTCAGCAGGCAAGCAAGAGACACAGCAGAGGAGAGAAGCCGTTTCATTTTCAATAGACAGACTCAGAGCTCAACATAGCTGCAGAGCTGCAGAGCTTAATATAGAGCCACGCCTAGGCTACTTCTAGTTTCAGTTTCCAAACCGTCCTCATTGGCTGACATAGTTGCTCTGCCTATTCACTGGCTGACCTTGTTACCATGCTCTATTCCAGTTCATGAATGTACTCTTGACACGTCTCACAACCACAACTGAACCCAACATTTATGTGGCTAAGCAAGATAGTTGTTAAGTGAGTTTTCTCCCATTTTATGACCTTTTTTGCCACAGTTGTTAAGCGAATTAAGTTAGTAACAAGGTTGTTAAGAATCTGGCTTCCTCATTGGCTTTGCTTGTCAGATGGTCGCAAAAGAGAAAATTCACAAATGTTATAAACCCTAAGGGTGCTTTTCAAAAGGAAACTGGACTTTCTTGGTTTTTTCCCCCTTGAAAACCTTTCACTTCTAATCCAAGAAGCTTCTTCAGTTCTTCAGAACTGACTGGGGAATTCTGGGAGCTGAAGTCCACCCATCTTAAAGTGGCCAAGGTTGAAAGATACTGGACTCTAGTCTATTTAAACTGGTGTAAATTATTGTTGTTACTGGCAGCCAAGGGTTAGGAAGGCAGGGACTGGTACTGAGAGCCATAACCTTCAAAGGCTAGGATTATGAACCTTGGTGGCGCAGTGGTTAGAATGCAGCATTGCAGGCTGACTCTGCCCACTGCTAGCAGTTCGAATCTCATCAGGCTCAAGGTTGACTCCGCCTTCCATCCTTCCAAGGTGAGTAAAATGAGGACCCAGATTGTTGGGGAGGCAAGAGGCTGACTCTGTAAACCACTTAGAGAGGGCTGTAAAAGCACTATAAAGCGGTATATAAGTCTAAGTGCTATTGCTATTTTCCTTCCTTCCCACTTCCTTCCTTCCTTCCCACT